TTATTTCTCTTCTTCTTCTTCTTCTTCTTCTTCTTCTTCTTCTTCTTCTTCTTCTTCTTCTTCTTCTTCTTCTTCTTCTTCTTCTTCTTATCATCATTATCGTCAACATGAGATAGTAGAGGTGTCTTGGCCTGTGTGAAGTTTACCACTGTACACAATACGACGGTCCTAAAATATTTCTCAAATTCTAATCTATCCAACATAATTATATAGATGTACGCACGATAATGTATAACAATAATTCCTATCACACATCATTTTGTAGGCCCTAAATGTTAAACATACATTGGCCCATTTAACCATCTTGTTAGTTGACACATGATAAGTGGGGAACGCACACAAGTCTATAAAAAAAATAACAACAAATCACTATGATTAGTAGTCATACACAAAATAGTAATGTCTACGAAGCTCGCGCCATTCACTTGAGGAATGTAAATACATTTGTACACAGGGGATGGTGGGGTTTTCTTCAATCATTCACACAACACACAACATACACACCCAGACTCCTGTTTTCATGATCTAAATTGTGTCGATGGGGGTTACATTAAAAAGAAATAATAAAAATGAAAGAAACTATTTCGTATCTCGTGTCAGTAGATTTGGCAGTACACAGAGTCCACCTATATTATCACTGAGACTACTAACTACAGTAAACCGCCTGCAGTAGTACATATAATATTACTACATAACTTAACGCATTGGTACCATAATATTGGTTTTCATGACTTTGGCGAATACAGTTTATTTTGACAATGTTGGCAAGAAAACCGAACCAAGATTCAAATCCAGAAACGGGCTAGGGGGCGAAACGAAGGGTTATTATCTTCTTTTTGTTTGTTTGTTGTTGTTTAAATTTACTATTATTTTTTTTGCGTCGACGCCATTTAAGCTAGTATTGCCGCGTGTTCACAGTGCCCATTCTCTTGAAACATTGCACGTACCATCTTTGTCTCACAAAGAATTAATGTTAGTGACATTTTTATTTGTCAGGAGAAAATGAGGAAGGTTCACCTGTCTTGTATAAGCAACCATGCTATGAGAGTGCAAGACTATCTATCACAACCTGAAGAAGTCTTATCGTAGTTCCTGTGTTACTACAAGAGAAAATCTGTTAGAAAAACGAAATCCAAACAAGAACAGATTTGCCCAAAAGCAAAAAACCCCCAACAAAACACAACTATAACCCAACAAACCAAGGCAAACATATGGCTGGAAGCTCACGAAGAAATAGGAAAAGTGGAAGCCCTCAACTACCATGGAGAAGCAGTCGGGCATGGTATAATAATAGTAAAAACTGTCCAAGATAATACGCGTTGCCGAGGAGAAAAGTGGTAATCTTGACAAAGGAAGTCAACTTGGGAAGAATCACCGTAAGACCCCCCACCTCCCAAAAAGAGATGATTTTTTTTTGGAGGGGAGGGGGGCCAGTTGGAAGCAGTTGTTTGTTTAGAGGATTGTCTTAGACAGGTGGTCGTTAGAGCAGGTTTGAGTGTATATTATTTGCAATGCTAGCCCGTCCAGAGAGGTGGCCAAGATGTTCCTCGAAGGCTGTAGATTGTCAGTGTCAGGAGCCAGGTGAAGGAAAAGTAATGGACTGAGAAACTGGAGGAGACAGGGCAATTCCAAGGCTCTAGAATCTAGAATGTAAGAATGCATTGTTGAAGATCGAACCGAGGCTGTCCAAGTTACACTTTGCATGATACCAAAAGAGCCAACAACTAAACAATAAACTGCACCACGACTAGACAGTGTGTTATTCCAAGAAAGACAAACTATTAATTAATCATAGTGCAACACATTTAGCAGCATGGCTTATATTTCAAGGATTTCGCAATGGTTATAGCGGACTCTGTTCATTCAGGAGACCACAGAAGCGTTGATACAATTGAACTACCATGTTGGCCAAGAGGACTTCTCTACTCTAAGGTCTTGTGGCTCTGGCAGAGACTGATGTATTCCAAAGGACTCACAAGTTTTGTCGAGCTTTTCTGCAATACATGCTTCAAATTTTACTGACACAACCCGAATTATGACAGATCAAGCTAATGACACATGAAACGGAAGCGAGAGTTGAATTTATCCCTATCATTTACAGGTATGTGAGATCCTAATGGCGCTGATTTCATTTCAGCTCTGTGTTGGGACTGAACAGATCTTACTCTCAAACAGAATCATTTCTCGTCTTCAGATAGTCAAATTCATGTCTTTTCTTGACGAAAAGGCTAGCTTCCCTCCCTAAACTAAAACAGAACCTATGCAGCACTGGTAGAGCAGCCTTGGTAATGAAGTTCATTACATCATGTTTACAGTTGCTTTCTTGAGGCGGATAGCAAAACATAGCAAACAAAACATTCACGCTGTCTGGCTCCCTCAAGGAGTTCGGGAAGGACGATTGTAGAACCAGCCCTTTGGTACTCGCATTTTGAGCGATATAATAGGTTCCGGGGCACAGCCAGATTCAATAGTTATTGAGCACACGCGCCAAAGAAGGCCGGGG